TTCTACTCTGGTTAGGGTACAGTGCTTTTCCTTCAAAAATAAGGACATTTCAATGTGACCCGAAACTTTTGAACAGTAGTGTATGTTTGACAAGTTATATTTGGGATTGATTCTACGTTGTTTCTACCCTTTTTGTTTAAGTTCATTTCAACACCAGTTTGATCTCAGCCTCTCAGCAGCTTTTTTGTTTCATGAAGTTGCTGCAATATGCAACATCAGTTAGATGCCACAGAAAGGAACAGCAAAAACCTTTTCCATGTCTGCCCGTGATAAAATGTCCATCTAGTGACATGGAACTCACATGTTTCTAGAGAAAGCTTTTCTTTAATGGTGGTAATCTACTGTTTACATGGAAACGAGTACAGGTAAAGTGTAATAATCTAAACCTGGTAATATTTCAGCTATAAGATGACAAAGAACTCGGTTAAGAGTTCACTTATTGTGTTTCTTTGCACTACAATGGTTCATTTGGCATGAGGTTAAAAAAGTTTAGAACTGTAAATATACAGTCATTTGTTTATATTACTATTTGTTCTCCTGTTTTTATTACTTTGTTTCAAGGCTGCACTTTAAAAAATGCAATTGTCTAGAGCTGTTTTAATAGAAATTTCTTTTTGTATACACTCACGTATACAAAATGACAAAATAAATCTTAGTCTAAGGTTCAGACTTGACAATTTTGCCATTAAATGTCAGATTCAAAGTCTGTATTATATTCACTTAAAAATATTTTCTTTTATGTTTCTGTCTTTTAAAGATCTTTTATGGTAAAATTTTCTTTAAATTATTACCAATAGTTTTGTTTCTGATTCTGTAGATGTTTTAATAACCTGCTGTGATTTAGAGAAACTATCGTCTGTTTTATAGAACTAGATTTTATTGCATTGTTTTCTGCCCTGGATGTTTTACATGAATGTATTCACTTCTAGATTGATTAACCAAGCAGAAATTAAAACATGGATTGTCAAAATTGCTTCTTTATATGGTTTTGTGTAAGTCAATAAATCTTTTTCTGTATTCTCTGAGATTTTCAGACAACCTAAAGCTGTAATATGACAGTTTAATGACTTAAATGCTATAAGTTCTAAAAACTTTGTTTTAAATCATTATATTATACTCTAAACATGGCTTAAGCAGGCATATTGTAATGGCCATGTAGGTCCATCACATGTTTACTGTTAACTTTGCTTATAAGTTTCAATGGAAGGCTCATCAGATGACAAATGACCTTTAAAGTATGTTGTTTCAGATTCTGCAGAGTGGGAGATTAGAGATATAATGAAGCAGAGTGATGAAAAATGGGTCCCTATTTCCTCCAGCAGTCTAAGCCTATAGCAGTATAACTTTAGAGATAGCTCAGCATAACCTGAGCCACTCTAACAATAAGCTTAATCAAAAAGGAGCCTGATAACTAAAAGATCTGCCTCCCGTTCTACTTTTAGATATTCTAGGAACAAAATGGATTAATTAAAACATTAGGAGTGAAATACACTGGCTCCAAAAAGTATTCATACACTCCAGATGTGTCCCTTTTACCAAACTTTAATGGATTTTATGTCACAGACCAGCAAAATGTTGCATAACTTTAAAGTTACTATAAAGTCCATCCATTATCTGACACGCTTGTCCCAATAAGGGTCGTGAGGGGGTCTGGAGCCTATCTCCAGCTGTCTACGGGCGAGAGGCGGGGTACACCCTCGGCAGGTAGCCAGTCCATCGCAGGGCATCCCAGAGACAAACATGACAAACAACCATTCACACACACACTCACATCTAAGGAGAATCTAGAGAAGCCATTTAACCTAACATTCATGTTTCTGGACTGTGGGAGGAAGCCGGAGTACCCAGAGAGAACCCACGCATGCTCAGGGAGAACATGCTAACTCCGTGCAGAAAGACCCGGGCCGGGACCCTGGAACCCGGAACCTTCTTGCTGCAAGGCAGCAGTGCGACCCACTGCTACACTGAGCAGCACTATAAAATCCTCATACAGAATTAAAATGCTACAGAAAAAAACTGTTTAAAGTCATAAATAAGGATTATTCTCAAACCACTAAATAAAATGTGGTAGTACCGGTAGGTCCCTCTGTCACCAACCAGGTGCAGTTTTGTCATTTCATCAGAGATAACAGCCGTTTTCCAACATAAATCTGACCACTGTGGTGGATGATGTCCTTCAGAGGCTGAGGATTTGGTACGAGGACAGACTTTCTGCTTACAGCCATAAACCAAGGCCAGAGAAACAAGGAACCATGAGTTTCTTTCATTACCGATGCATAAATCACCCTAAACCCAATGACACCTTAGCCCTAAACCTTACCATTAGCAAAATAGCATGTGAGAACCTGCAAAATGTCCTCACTTTGCATTAATTGGTCCTCATTCTGAGGGCTAGACAGGTACGCACACACATCTGACACACTGTAATTGAAATGCAGCAGTATATAGATGGACGGAACAAGAATCCAGTTTTGAAGAAATGCTAGAAGAACCTGGTGACATGTTCCTGACTAGTTTCTTTTTAAGCCCCGGAGACTGAAAAGTAACACCTACTCTGGACTGGCTCCAGATTTTCACCGTATCTCGTTGTGAAATGACTACAGTCTTATGTGAAGCCTCACCTTTCTTTTATATATCTGAAAAGTTGCAATAACAAAAACTATCATAAAGAAAACAAGCAGAACGATAGTTCCTTCCTTTGCTCCTTCCACAGTTTCTTTAAACGGGATCCCTGCGACCTTGTTTCCTCCATCATTTGCTTCATATTCATCATCTTCGTTTTCATCCCCTGCAAAGCAGAAGCAGGTGTTAGTCTGAAAATGGCTGAATGACGTTATCCACTCTACTGAGACCTTCCCCTCAACAATGTCTTTTAAAAAGCAAAGACCAGATCTGAGAGGATTCATCCCAACATCAAGAAGCTGCTGGAAGCCCTGGTCCAGAAACAGACTTACCTGGAGGAAGAAGAGGAGGAGAAGAAGGACTGACATCCAGCTGGATGGTGCAGACTACACTTTCTTCATCTTCACCGAAACTCCTGTGGACCACCCTACACTGATATGTTCCAGAATCATAAGTCCTGGTGTCTTCCAGAACCAAAGACACATCTCCATTCTCCATGAGTCTGTCCTGCAGGTCCACCCGGTCCCAGAAAGAAGGCTTCTGGTAGGATTTATCAATCTGCTCGTCTCGATAGAGAAGCACATATTCCTCTCCCAGATCACTTCTGCTCCACTCCACAACTAAGACACTGTCATTAAAGGGATGTCGACATGGCAGAGTGACCGTCCGTCCAGCTTCAGCTACAAATGCTTCATGAACTGCAGGGGAAAAAAGACAGCAGAAAGGTTAAAGGTCAATATAAACAGCTGCTCCCGCCCCCAGCTGCTTCAGAGAGAGAAATATGCTAATTTTGTGAGATAAGAATTTGGGGTTTTAATGAACTGTATGCCCAAATCATCCGTATTAAGACCATAAAACACCTGAAATATTTCAGTTAGTGAGCAATGAATCTAAAATATATGAAAGTTCAAGTTTTATCATTACATTATGGAAAATAATGAACTTTACATAATATGCAGGGCTCAATGTTAACCATCGCCTGATCTCCCAGGGCTCTTTATTGTCGGGAGAGTACAAATTTCATTGCATTTGCCCGCCGGGCAATGATGCAATGATCTC